GTATTAAGTAAAACTCTAAATCAAATGTGGTTAGAGATTTTTACCAAGTCTGTCATGATATTTTTGTACAAAGATTTCTTACCTGGGGTAGCTATGGAAATTTTCCCCTGGAAACTTAAAAATACATAACTGCAAACTATTGGAGGTAGTTAATGTATAGTTTATCCTGGCATAAAAAAGATGGGATGGAATAATCTCTTGAAGTAAATTACATCACTACGGTGCTGTATTAGATATCAAATTCAAACGCACACCACACTCTACATGATGATGAGTAAGTCTCTTGGCTAAAAGATTAAAGAGGTACTATTGTCTAGCTATGCCCTGAGCTCTGAAAAAATTAGAGAGAAATTAGTGATGGTATGATGCTGTAATTCCTTGTCAGGAACTTCAGTAAGGGAAAAGAATATAGCTACAAAATCTTGTTGTCCATAGAAAACCCAAAATAGTAAACTGGTGGGAAGTCACCCTGTATCAAGTGTTTAAAAGACTACACAATGTACCAGCCTATAACACAGTCCTAGAGGAAAATCAGGGCCCCACAAAGGAAATGCATCAGAACCATTAATTGCCCATTGAGGCACTGGAGACCAGGAAGAAAAAAGAGATGAAGAGTCAAACAAGAACTTTCCAAGAAGTCTGCATCCAAAGATTGTTGATGGAAAGTTAGAGCTAGACCATGGTTCATATGGAAAGAATCTAGATTGTGATACAGAAGGAGAATAAAGTGCATTTTGGTGCCTTTTAGAGGGTGAGGAAAGTCAAGTGTGGCTGCCCTGTCCAGAAAGGACCTCTGCCCAGACATGGAAGAAGGTTTAAGTCATAGGGTTTTTTTTCCTAATACTCCTAAGCAAACATCAAGTTTGCCTAATACTCCAACTGTAAAGAGTGATGAATTTGGAGGCAGAAAGTCCTGGGATTGAATCTCTAACATAGATGAGCCATGTGACTATGGACCAGTCACTTAAATTCTCTATGTTTCAGTTTCCTTGTAGGGATAAAAATAGCTATGGTTCTTATAGAACAGGGTTCTTGTGAGGCCCAAATGAAATAATATATATTAAACTCTTTGCCAACCTTAAAACATTATACAAAATATGGGCTATTAATAACAATGACAATTTTAACATTGGCATAAGAATTGTGAAGGAGACTATAGAATCTTCTTGTTGGAGATCTTTAAGATTAGGATAAAAAAGTCAGTTACTCTGTCTTAAATAATTAAGTATAATAGCATTCTTAGATAAAATTTCCCACCTACCCTTTTAGTAGATAAAAGAGGGAGAAAGAATTATAATAATAATAGCTAGCATTTATACAGTGTTTTTAGCTTTGCAAAGCACTTTACAAATATTACCTCCTTTTGTCCTCATAACTCTGTGAGGCAGGATATTATCATATCCATATATGGATGTTATCATATCCATTTTACAGATTAGGAAACTGAAGTAAATAGAAACTAAGTGACTTGCCCAGAATAAAACAGCTAGAAAATGTCTAAGATCATATTTGAATTCAGGTATTCCTGACTCCAGGTTCAGCTCTTGACCCACTGTGGCACTTGGTTGCCTAATTATCAAGTCAAGTTCATCTTAGTTAGCCTAGCCAAGGGAATAGTTTCTTGGTATGAATAGTGCTTAAGGATTTTTCTTTAAAAAAAAAAAAGTCCTTTCCTCAAAGAGAATAATTCTTCTCTCTATCTTCAAAGGCTCTTTCCAGTAATGCAAAGGACTGTTTCCTTTTCATTTTTGTATCCTCACCATCCAGCCCAGTGCCTAGCACATAGTAGATGTTTAATTAAAATAACTGTTGAATTGATTTGAAATGAATTGAATTGAATTTCCAAGTCTTTAGAAAAAAAAAGTTCTTCCAAAGGTGAAAAAGTGCATTTTTCTACTACAAGGAGAAAATGTATGAAGAAGGAATCAAAGACTTGAGACCATAGATTCAGAGCTAGCAGGGACCTTAAAATTCATTTAGTCCAATCCCCTCACTGAAGCTCATAGAATTTGATATTTTCTCCTCAAAATGTGAGGTCTGAGGAAGGGAGACATACATGAGAAGTGGAAAAACCCAAGTAACTATGATACTTCTGGGAAGCAGGGACTAGTTATCCTTTCTTAGTCCTTTCACCAGTGACATTTTATAAGACACTAATCTTGAGAAAGGGCCTGGAAATTGGACTTCAACGACTTCACCCCTATTTCTATCCTAACCATCCATTTGATTTCCCGAGAGCTGACTTTATGTGGAGGCCAAATAGGTAACTGCCTATGTGGATTGATTTGAGGGAGTGTGAAAAGACACTAAAACCTCAACAAAAAAACATCTCTCCCATTGGCCTGCTACTGTGTTAGCACTTTTATTTGAGATTAATTCCTTTGTTTGGATTAATTCCTTCAAGGCTTCCAAATCTTTAAGAGTTCTCTACTAGATTGCAAATACTCCTGGGAGAGATGAAAGTCTAATTTGGGTTAAGAAACACTGATCTGGTCTAAACTCCACTTTTCACAGATGAGGATAGTGATATATATATATATATATAATGTTCCTAGATTTGTATTGCATAGCATATAATAGCAAACATAAACATTTACAAGCAAGAATTATTTAAGAGCAGTGACAGTGGTTTGAAAGAAATAAGAATCAAGGTATAGTCACAAGAATTCCTAGGTGACATGATGGCTAGAGGGCTAGACTTGGAGTCAGGAAGACCTGAGTTTGAATTTTGACTCAGATGTTTGCAAGCTGTGTGACCCTGAGCAAGTCAGGGTCTTCTTGATGCCTCAGTTTTCTCTTGTAAAATGAGGATCCTATTTTGTTGTTGTTGTTGTTCAGTTGTTTATCAGTTGTATCCAAATCTCAGTGACTTCATTTGGGGTTTTCTTGGCAAGGATACTGGAATAGTTTGCCATTTCCTTCTCCAGCAATTTTATAGATGAGGAAACTGAGGCAAACAAGGTTAAGTGACTTGTCCAGAGTCACATAGCTAAGAAGTATCTGAGACCAGATTTGAATTCAGAAAGACTCATCTCTCTGAGTCCAGGCCTGGCGCTCTATCCACGGTATCACCTAGCTACCCAGGTCACAGTAATAGGACCTATCTAACAGGGTTGTTGCGAACATCAAATGTGAAATGCTTTGTCAACATTAAAGTGCTATGTAATTATTGGCTGTCATTATTATTTCAGAATGTGTATCACTTTACTTGATAGGCAGCTAGGAATCTCAGATAATGTGATATCTCACAAATTTTTTTTAAGTAAACATGTTTTATGGCTATGTTTTTAGGCACAATAATGGTACCCATAAGTTATTTTCAGTCTTTGGCACTTACAGAAATGTCACTAAGAGTAAGAGTGGAGATTTCATTAATACATAACAGAAGGGCAGAGTTTGGAATCATCTGGGGGTTTAGGTGGGCTACAAACTCAGTAAGTTCAGTTCAATACGTTGACCAAGAAAGCTCACGGGAGCTCAGACTGCATGGCTAGAGGCTTAGCGTGCAGGATAAGGAGACAGGCCCATTGTGCCTTGGGCCCTGGTCATACCACATCTGGAGAATGATATTCCTTTTTGGATACCACATTTTTTAAAAAGGCCACTAATAAGCTGAAGGAGGGCAGCCAATATGACAAAGAATCTCAAAGATCAAGCAATATGAAGTTCATGCCGTATGAAAACTTGTGGGAGGAATTGGGCATATTTAGCCTGGAGAAGAAAAGCCTTAGGGGGAAACATGATAGTTGTCTTCAAGTATATGACAGGTTGTCACTCACGTGGAAGAGAGAATAAACTTGTTCTGCTGGGCCCCAGAGGATAAAACTTGAAGCAATGGGGAGAAGGTGCAAAGTGGCAAATTTCTGCTGGAAGTAAGAAAATATTTCCAATTACAGCCTTCAATCAGTGCAACAGAATATCTTGAAAGGTAGTGGTTCTTCCCCTCCCCTCCCTCCACCACTGGAAATTTCCAAGCAAAGATTGGATGCATACATGTTATGAGGTTTTGTAGTGGGAGGGGATTTTATTTCAGGTGTAGATCAGACTGGTGGTCCTTGACATCCCTTCCCACTCTGAAATTCTGTGATTCTCTGAATGGAAAACATCGATCAACATTTATATATAGTTTTAAGATTTGCAAAATGGCTTATACATTAATATAAAAATCCCTCACAAAACCCTGTGTGTACAATATGATAAGTATCATTAACCCATTGTTTAGATGAGCAAACTGAGGCTGAGAGAAGGTAAATGATTTGTGGCTGGCCCAGAGTCAAGTCACTTAGTAAGTTCCAAAAGTAAGATTCAAACCTGTCTTCCTGACTCTGTGTCTCATGCTTTATTCTTTACTCCCTTTTCAAATATGCCTGTCTTTTTCCCAAATAAATCTATACAAAGGAACAATGATCCAAGAGTCTACTGTTATTCTTCACAAAATAATAACTGACAAATTTCCACAACAGCAGCGTTATTGATTTTAAGATCACTGAAGTCTGATCTCTCCCCAGCTCAGCTTGCCTTCACAGCTGTAAGAAGAAGAAGAATGGGACTATTTGTCTTCTCATTCACAGGGTTACCTCTGTCACTGGCAGAGACAGGGAGCTCCCAAAGAAAACTTTCCTGAATCAAATGAACTTCAAGGTAGCCTGAAATTCTTCCCCACCTCAGTAGGAAGCATCCCTCCAAAAGCTCATTAGTCCATTCTAGGGCTAAAGCAAACAATACTTTCCGTTACAATAATTTGTATCCAGGAAAAAAACACCAGCTCTGTGTTGCATCCGTAGCATAGCAGCCAGCGAAAAGTTTTTTGGTTTCAGCCAATTGCAGCCCATGGAACTGGGCCAAGACAAAATGTTTTCCCCTGCCTTTAGATGAAGTCACAATTGAAATATGGTATTCTGCTTATTAAAAGGGGGGTGGGGGAAGGAAATCAAAGCTAATCCTACAAGCAAAGTCACTTGCGCAGAAGAGGAAGGGGATAGGAAATGTTTGTGTGCATGTGAAAAGCTGAGTAGATTTTGGAGTGCTCTAGCTTTCACCTCCCACTGGGTGGAGTAGGGGCTTTAAGAGCAGCTGGAATGTAGTTTCCATGATCAGAGTTGAGCCAATTGTTGCCTGCCTGTACCTCTACCAGTCCTGAAAGGGTAGTGCTCTGAGCAGCTCAGCTCAGCTCAGCTCAACCAGCAGGCGCTTCCTTTGCACCCACCTCTCAGGGCAGTGCTGCCCAGCTAAGCAAGGAGCTCTTGTTTGCAGTGAAGAAACATTTCACTGTTCCTAACATGGGAGAAGATGCTGTGCAAGCAGAAAAGTTCCAGGCTAGAGATAACCCTGGCCCAGGGGCACTGCTGCACCAGGAAAAGGCATCCAATGCCAGCCTGGTGCCATCGTCCACCCCAAGTCCCAGCCTGAACTGTGTGACCACTGATGAGTCAATCCGGGAGAGCTCCCAGGTGAATGCCGTCACGGTGCTTACCCTCCTGGACAAGCTGGTGAATATGCTGGACACAGTACAGGAAAACCAGCACAAAATGGAGCAGCGGCAGATCAACCTGGAGGGCTCCGTCAAGGGCATCCAGAATGACCTCACTAAGCTGTCCAAGTACCAGACCTCCACAAGCAACGCAGTTAGCAAACTCTTGGAGAAATCCCGCAAAGTCAGTGCACACACCCGAGAGGTCAAGGAGCGGATGGATCGCCAGTGTGCCCAAGTGAAGAGGCTGGAGAGCAATCATGCCCAGCTCCTGAAGAGAAACCACTTTAAAGTGCTCATCTTTCAGGTTAGTGCTTCCCATGTTCCTTTACCTATGCGTAAACGTGTGTTCACAGACCATGCATACATGCATGCATAAGCACTATGTTTGGACAAACCGTTTAGAGGCCTTTCCATAGTGTCACAGGATTTTAGGTCCAAAAGCAATCTTACGGCTAATTTAATTCAACCTCCTCCCACCATTTTACAGGTGGAGACTGAGGCCCAGAGAAATTAAGTGACTTACCCAAGGTCAGGCAGGTAGTGACAGACACAGCAGCAGCTAGAATTTGAACCTACCTCCTCTAGCTCCAAATCTCATGTTCTTTCCACTGTGATAATCATTTTCTCTGTAATCCATTACTGTGATATACATATATATGTAGATAAGTTTTTTACATCAGCCCTATCTGTCTCTGTCTCTTTCTGTCTCTCATCACACACACACACACACACACACACACACACACACACGCACACTCCACTGTCCTTTGTTGTCCTTCAGTAACCTAATATGCAATCTGTCCATAGGAACCTGATTTTCCCAGATCTGTGCTTGTGTGTCTTACTGCCTAGCTCTGGGCCAATCCAGTCTGGCAAATAGGGAGCTTGGGTCTGAAAGTAAAAACCTGAAAGTATCTGATACATTTTGTGACTGTGTAAGTTAATCAAGAGGAATTCAGTTGTCTTTTAATAATTCCTGTTGCTTCAATGAAAAGTGAATGAGGAGGAGAAAGGACCTTGACTTTAGTTGGTACTCAGTGAATTTTTATCAAAGAGACAAATTGCCACAACTGTTCCAACTACTCATTGGAAACATGATGACAGCGATTTGAGGTTTGAGGTAGGAGCCCAGACTATCAAGAACTGTGTTCCCATTAAAATACCTGATTTCTTCAAGACAAACATGCAAACTCAACTCCCTCCCTCATCTCCCAAACTGTTCCTTTTCCTTTGAGTTTTGTTAATAGTCTGGACAAAGGTATTATTTCCCTTTTTAGTAGTAAATGACCTTTTGACAATGAATAGCACAACTCTTTGCAAATGCTGGATGTCTGTTTCATTGGTCAGATCTCCCAAATGACAGTTTAGAACAAAAGCCAAACACGCTCACATAATAGTCAGTCTTTTGAAATATAGGCCCCTTCAAAGCAATGCCTTTGAGAGAAAACTCCACTTAGGAAAAAAAAAAATCATAACACAAAGGGCAGCACCTCTATACATGACTCAATTATCTGAGCAAGTGGCTATTTGGGGAGGGGGAGGTTGGGTATGTGATATTATCTGGACAAGAAATGGGCATTTATGATCCAGGGGCTGCCCTGCCCAGTGCTAGAAGTTCTTCCGCCTAACTAAACACAGACAGCATACAGCCAACTAGAGTCAATGCCACCCGAGCCTCAGGGCTGTCTAGTTGTGACCATGTTAATAAGAAAGGATTTCAAAACTGTCCTGGAGGGAGGTTATAACAGTTTGATTGTGAAATGCACACAGGGGGAGCCTTCATCACTGGAAAGAGACATTGAAAATTGGATTTAAACCGAGGGAGCCTTCCTCATCTAAATGAGTGAGCTCTGCCAGATAGAAACCCAATTCTTCTTTCCTCCATAAAAGGAAAGACTCCATCCCGGTGCTCATTGTCCTCCCCAAATTGCAGTTTAAGATTGTAAAGCCCTGGGCAGAAGATATCTTCCTGTGCCTTCCAGGCTTTTTTCAGTCCAGAAACTTTTCAGCTTTTAATGCAAATGAAATAACTCTTCATGTATCTGATGAATTGAAACAGATACAGTTAACTAGGCCCTTCTTAAGCCATGTGAAATCCTTTCTTTATTACCCCCCAAAGATATTAGAAATCTCAGCTCCTGTGGCATTTCTGAAATTAAATCTCGATCTCTAAACAAAGCCAAACATGCACAGACCCATTTGAATGAGTCACCCAAGGAAATTCCCTTTCCATAGTGTGAAGCAGAGATTACCTTCCATCCCATCTCTCAATATGGGAAAACACAATGGATTTACTTAGCAGAGAAAAGTCACATTTCCCTGGACTACGTAAACCACTCCCAGTCCAAGAAGCCTTCTGAGGAACCGGGATCAGTTAATAGTACAGGAGAATTACAAAGATGCCATGAAAAAGAAATTGCTGAGCTGCCTAAAACAGGTTTGGGGTGTTGCTCTGGCCCTGGCACAGTCTCCTGGCACTTGTGACATTAGAGTGACAGGTGTGAAATAGCAGTCTGAAGTGGTTAGAATACTTCACATTGTGAGTAGGAACTACACTGGGGCCCTGAGGCCCAAGGCTGAATTTAAAGGGACCCAGTACAGGCTGGTCATTTCAAATCCAGATACTTGGCTACTATGGGAAGAAAGGCCCCCCCTTCCCCCCAACTCCAATGCCAAAGTCCATGGCAAAGGTGCTTCAAGAGTGTCAGATTGACAGAATGCAGCCCCTTTGCAGTCTTGACTTTCAACTAAACAGACCATTTCAGAGGCCCCGAATGAGAAAGACACCCCAAAGGACCCTCTGCTAATTACAAATCAAACAGCTCTTTAGAGGAAAGGGACCCTTCCTTTCCAAGGTTTCAGAGTTAAACATCTCCTTGAATAACATTCTTGTTTAATAGAAGAGGCCTAAAAGGATTAAGTGACTTGCCCAGGGTTGCACCAAGTTAATTACAAAGATGAGATGGGAACCCAGGTCCTTTGATACAGAACCCCATGTTGCCTCTCTGTGTGTTGCCTCTTCAACTTAGGGATGCTGGGCCAGGAACTATGCCATGGGAGATTCATTGGGTCTGAGTTTTTTCCACCCAGAAATCCCAGCTGCCCTTCACATTATCAATAGTACGGTCCTTAAGTGAAGGATTGAACACACCCTACCCAGGATCTCCAGACATCCATTCTTATGGGGTGTTTCTTATTTGGTTTGGGCTTTTTTACCCCCTCCCAAGACCATGCCATGCATTGTACTAATGTTACCTTACTGGAATTAGCATCCTTCAAGATGATCTACACGCACCCATGTGCTGCAAAATTCTGGCGCTACCAGTGAAATATTCAAAGCACAGTATAGGGCAGTTGCAACAGACATAACAATACAGACACTGATTAAGTTCTGACCACATGCAAACACCACTCCAGGTGCTAGAAATATAATTTTAAAAATGAAAGTCCCTGCCTTTAACAAGCTTACATTCTACTGAGGGGCAGCACCAACACAGATGAATACAAGGTAGTTAAAGATGAGAAAGAGCACTGACCCCTGGGGAAGGGACACCCTCAGGAAAGGCTTCTGGTGGGAGATGGCAGGTAAAGGAAGCCTTAAAGGAGATGCTAAGAGTCAGGGGAGATGAGAGAGGGCAATGACTGCTTGTACAAAGACAGTAAACAGGAAATGAAATGCCACTTTCAGGGAATGTTCAGGTTGAGTACATGATGAAGTGCACGAAGGTCAATGATGCCAAATAAATCTAGAAAGGTAGGTTGAAGCCATGTTGTGAAGAGTTCATATTTTATCCTAGAGGCAATGGGGAGGAATGGGTGGGACTGTGAGACTTGAATATTCTTGAACATGAAAGTGATGCAGTCACATTTGTGCTTTATGGAGTTATTTTGGCCCTTGTGGAGAATAAGAGAGAAGGGACAAGTTTTGAGCAGGAGCACTAATTAGGGGACTCTCATCATAGAACAGGCAAGAGGTAAAGGAATCTTGATCTGGGGGTAGGTGATGACTACATGAATGGAAAGGATATATAGAAGAGAACTGTCCTGAACATAGAGTTATTAAGATTTGGCCACCGACTGAATATAGAGGCTGAGGGAGAGAGAAGAGTCAAGGATGACCCCAAAATTGCAAACCCGAAAGACTGGGATCATGGTGCTCTCAGTAGAACTAGGGAAGCTTGGAAATGGGGCAAAGGGGACGGGAGTGTGTGAATTAGAGAAGATAATGAGTTCCATTTTAAACATGTTGAGGTTCAGATGGCTATAGGATATCCAGGTGAAGATGTCTAGTAGATAATCAATGAGCAGGTCATCAGTGATGTAGAACTAAAGCTCAGGAGAGAGATTATCACTTGATTTATGCATTAGGAGGTCCACTTCAAAGCACAGTATAAAAGCACTGTAAAAAAGAAGATAATCAAATCCAAGAGAACTAATGAGACCACCGAGAGAAAGCGTATAGGGAGAACAGAAAAAAGGGCCCTGGACAGAGCATGGGGGAACAAGTTATTGTTACAAAAATGAAAACCCAAAACATATTTCTTTTAAAAAGCTTAATGCATCAAGTATAATCTTGCATTTTTCACTCGGTTTGGAATTTTTGCCATTTTTAAAGCACTCGAACTTCATGCTATATTTTTCCCAGCTCCACTCTCTCCTTCCTCTATTCCAAACCCCCAATTTTCTGGTTTAAGAAAAGAACTTAATGTACAAATAAAAATAAAAAAAGTCAGAAAAGAAAAATCTATGTTCTTTTGAGTGCATTCAGGACCACCAATATAGCATTAAATTTATCATTTGTGAAGTCCTACTGTGACTCCATAGACTCAGAAACTTCACTAAAAGCACACATTCCTTCTAAAATACATTTGTAAAAGGTTATTTTTTTATCCTAGAAAATCACAGCTGTGTGTTTCTTAAAAGATGTATTTCACCTTTAAACTTATCACATTTAAAATCCTCATTAAACTTGGGTAGTGTTCCTCTTTCTTGGGAATAGCCCACAATTTTTCTGATATATGTGCATACGTGTGTATACACACATATATGTATGAATGCATATATGCACATGCATACATGTATGTATGTAAGTATGTATGTACATACAACATACACAGACACCATAAATAAAATACTAGTGAAGAGGCAGTGTGACACAGTGGAAAGAATATTGGATTTAGAAATAAAGGACCTAGATTCGAATCCCACCTTGCTACTTATTGTCTATGTGACTTTGGACAAGCCACTTTACCTCTGAAGTCCTCCCTTTCCTCACTTGTAAAATAAAGTGGTTGTACTAGATGA